TTTAAAAAATTTAAAATACTTACAATATTTTCAAGATTTTTGTAAAAATATATGGCAATTTTTTAATAACACAAAAATTGTTACACCTTTTTTCATTGGAATGGCATTAGACTTTCTTTGCTTACTCTAAATTTACAACAGCGATGAACTTGAAAAAAAATTAAGGCGGTTCTAAATTATTTCTATGGAAACTTTATATTTTTAAATTATCATTTTTAAATTTAAATTTAAATTTAAATTTGATTTAAATTAATTGATTTGTGATATTTTTTTCATAAAACTTGGCTTACAGCGATTTTTATGAGTGCTTTTTTTTAAACTCAAAAATAAAGTTTTGAGTTTAATTATTTTAAAGGAAGAATTTATTTGCTTCGAAATAAATAATCTATTAAAAAAAATCTGTTAATCATTAATTAATTTTACATACAAAGATTCTTTACAGATCATTGTAAGAACTTTTTTAGCAATATTTATAATAATACTTGAATATACAGGAAATTACAACTACGAAGAACTTATTTGCTTTATCTGAAAGGTTTTTACTGCATAAAAGGTCAACAAATATTTATTTTGGCCTACCATACAAAAATCTATCACCATAAATAGATTTATTGTAAAGAAACGTTGATAAATAAATATTAGGCTTGCAACAAAAGAGTTACTGAAGACAATATGCAGATTTACTAAACAAAGCTACTATATGTACAGTTACTATGAATCTTAGATTATATAAAGTATATACCGTTACTGTACTTCAAAACCAGCCATATACAAACTAGTACCCATACTGCATGAAACGATATCAATCTGCTACATGCGTAAGGCTAGAATCTTCAGCTTTTTTTTGTGCTTTATCGGTGTTCTGTATTGACAAGAAGAAAAACGTTACATGTACAAAAATTTTGAAGAAATTATTACACATTAAAAAGCATTTTTAATAAAAAACCAAAAATTCTACGTGAAAATAAAAGCCAGAAATGAAAATAACTTATTATATAACTTATAATAACAAAACCAGCGTAAGATTAATCTTTATTATTAAATAAACACGTTTCATTCCGTGAAAAAATTTCTTTGGAAGTTAATTAAGTTGCATTTTATTCTCCGTGATTTTAAATAAAAATAATATATACTTCACTTAGTTATTATATGAAAAATATGTGTTGTAAGGGAATAAATATCACGATACGTTGAAAAATGCGTGAAACTTACTGTATGTTCTAAGTTTTGAATAAGTTGTATCACTCCATGATGCACGAACAAATTCCGCCTTTTGGGCATTATTATCAGATAAGTAATTTAAACTTTGCATTTTAATAGGTTGATTTCGTTTATATGCAAAAATTAACTTGCAATACGACCATAATAATATTAATACGCAGAAAGTGATTGTGGCATTCGAAGACTGCATTTCATCGTGTTCCTCATAAATTTCATTAATCCATTTCACGTAGAAGGATAAATGGATATAAGCGTAAATGTATATCTAGTATATATTATAACAAGAATTAATAAATTAGAATTAAATATCTGAAATTAAGATATAACTAACAAAATTATACAAAATAAAAAATAAACATTTCACTAATCAAAAAATAACAGCTAATTTTTAATTTTTTGCTCGAAAACGTAGTTTAAATAAATGTAATTAAATAGCATTAATAAAATTAGCATAAGATTAATCTTTATCATCAAACAAACACGTTTTATTCCGTAATAAAACTTCTTAGGAAGTTAAAAAATGGCATTTTATTCTCCGTGCTTATAAATAAAAATAAAGCACATTTTGCTCAGTTATTTGTAGCTGATAAAGTTAAAAAAAGACTTATTAAAATTGATATCAATTTCCATATTCTTTTTTTACTGTTATACTTTTTTATACAAGCTTACTTATATTAACAGTTTTTATTTTACAAAGTAATTTTTAAACAAGTTTATTAACTTGAATATTTATTTAAAAAAAATCGCTTCAAACAACTCCATGTGACTTTTTTAACAGTTATATTTGATAGTAACAAGTTTATTTACTGATGTAGGTAATTACGAATTGAAATTTAAAAATATTAAAATCAAAAAAGAAATTAGCGTCAAATTATTCAAACTTTTAAGTTTTCTACTTTTAAATTACTTTCAATAAATATCGGACTTAATTACATTTCTTAATATCGATTTTTAAAATTATTAAAGTAGTGAAAGTTTTAAGTACA